TTTGAATCCCATCAATTCGATGTCGGGATCTTGAGATATGATTTTTTTTACTAAAGATGGTGCATACTGGAATTTCATTACAAGAATTGCATACAAGGAAGGCTTGAACATTCATAGGACTCACCAAATTTACTCATTCAGGTGAATGGACGTCCAAAATGCATTTATCCATGAATAGGATGCAGTAAGAGCAAATTAAGAGTTTCTTTATCATCCTTTTGAGAGATGTTCAAATTCTAAAAGGGATACAAGCCCTAAAGATATCTTTATCATTATTTTATAGGTTTTTCATATCTAAAAAGAGACATACAATGAAGGCCGTTTTTAATTCCTATTATTATGAAATTCAAAAGGGTTAAATGGCTTAAATATGAGCATGAAATAGAAAGAAACACATCCCTTTTGGATGCTTAAGTGTCTACATACATCAAGTGCCCACATTCATCATCCATTCTTTCACGAGTGAGGAAGGCAAGGAAGTTCAAGAGCCCTCCTTCCCTTTTAAAAAAATTGTGTCTATATTTAGCCCTAAATATGTCCAAATTCATCATAGGCTCTATAGAATATTCATCCATAAAAGGAGAAGGAAGAAACAAAACATTCATGAGTATTCATCACCATTAAAATGAAGCATTCATCTTTTGTGAAAACCTTCATATTCAGCCTATGAACAATATAAATAGGACATTCCTTTCATTGTAAACTCACAACTATGGAATATATAAAAACTCTCGTGAGTTGCTTTCTTTTAGTTATTGTTAAGAACTTTAACGGCTTCAATTTATTCTTGTGGTGTACATCCATTCCATTCTTTTATATTGTTGGTTCTTAGCTCCTTAGAGCTAGAGTGTCACATTCCATACCCTACCACATCCTTTTATATTTACTTATATTGTTGGTTCCTAATTTCTTACAAATAGCAGGTCACAATCCACCATCTTCATCATAAACATCCACACGCCAACTATATCCATCCATACTTACCATATTCCAGTCTTCATCATATCATTCTCCATTCCACTACCATACCTTTAATTTCCCCTTTCCAGTAACATTTATTCAAGTATCAATTTTGCGCTTGAGTTACAAGTTCAGCTACTACACGAATCACGATCGGGCAACAACATATGATTCGGTAATCACACAACTGGATTCATATCTGAAGGTCTTTTATCAAAGAACTTAACATCATGTTTGAAATTCTTATAGATAGCCTATAAATCTTAACATTTTTAATATCATTTTTGACAGCATTGTCATCTTATAGATGACCTGAAGGACTAAATTCAAATAATCTTATCCTTTGAAAGTATTGCATAGAATGATAAACTTTAAGTAGTGATGGATCCATAATATTTTTTGGAATAGTCATATACATCAATAACACAAACTTTTTTAATGGAATTGACTCAAATAAAATTTCAGGGTGGACACCATCAGTAAAATTAAGTAACTAACCAAAGGAAATTTGGATTTCATGGTGGTCACGTGATCATCCTCAAATACACGTGGATCCACCAATAATCATAAGATGTCTTATACGTTCTTGATGTGAGACCATATAAATTCAATTAGAATTGGTAATAGGTGTTGGAAAAAATGATGAATTACATTGTTGGATTTAATGTTGATATCAAATTCATAGTCCTTTTAAATATTGTAAATTAAAAATATTATTTAATTTGAATATAAGTAGGTTAATTCTTCTTCTTAATATATCAAATTAAATAGGTATTTATTATATATTTAAATTGAATATTAAAATACAATTATATACATTTGAATATTTCAAACTAAAATAATATTTTTCTAAGTTTGAATAGTAAAATGAGTTCATATCTTATTAATATTTCAAAACTAAAAGATATAATTACATGTTTATTTTGTATATTAAAAGATATATAGTTGGAGTAAAACTCTCTTGAAAATCCCTATAAATATTGAGCAATCTTGTTAGGTTTTTCATATCTCATAATTCAAGAATTTTTCTTCTCTTGAAAAATATTTTCTTCTTCTTAGTAAATGTTATTTTTCCTTCTTAGTTTTCTAGTGATAGTCGAAGGCAAAGATAGTTACTGATATCTACTGTTGTGCTACTGTGGTTGATCATATAGTTATTGTATCATGGAAGAAAGAAGACCAAAAGATCTCGAGCACCAAAGAGTGGCCGAAAATCTGTCTTAATTAAACTGTGTACCGACATGCCTCAACTGATTCCAATCACAATATCAAAAATAAAAAGAGTATTTTTATGTCCTTTTTATTCTTTTTATTTGGAAGAAATTTAATTCCTTTTTTTTATTTTATCAGGTTTGAATTTAGTCTTGAATTATTACTCTGGTTAACAATCTTAAGACAAATCTTTTGCATCTTTTATCTTTTTTAAAGTGATATAATTTAGAATTTTGGAAAAAAAATGAGAGAGTAAACAAATTTGTTTCGGATTTATCCTGCATCTTAATGAATTTACTAAAATCTCAAGTGAACAAATTAGTATAATAGAATTGTCATGAAAGTAACTAGTTAATGATTTTGTTTAATAATATTTTTTCTCTCTGATAACAAAATCTAAAATAATTTTTTTCTAAATTTCTATTTATTGGAATTATTTCTAATTCGGGTTATGTTTTTTTTATAAAAAATGGAGACATTAAACTCTACCGATTTACCCAACTTAGAGACTATAATGATGGCTCGAGTTCAGAATACAAGTAAAGCGACAGTGGTAATTAACCACAACGAGAAGTTAATGAAATTCTACAATGGGAATTTCTATATGTGGAAATAGAAATATTTTTATCTGACCAGATGAACATCCCTAAGTTCTTGAATGGAGATGCTCTTTTCTTTAATGAGGGAAAATAAGAAGGTGAGGTAGGCAATATTACTCACTACTAGAAAAAAACCCCTTTAATGACGATCATTGCGCGTCATCTATGGGTGCGGATGACACACAAATGCCTATCGTTGAAGCCACCGACATGAATCTTAGATGACACGCAATTGTGTGTCATAAATCTATGACGCGCATATGACACACATTTATGACGCTCATTTATGACGCGCAATGAACGTCATTGAAGCCCCCGTCATAAATAAAGATGACACACATTTGTGTATCATAAATTAATGACACACATTCATGTGTCGTGATTGTATTTCGTAAATATATATATATATATATATTGTAGATTGGCAAATAATCAAACTAAATCACATTTAATGCCTCAAAATACTAAATATATATATCCTATTATATATAATCAATCCATTTGCATACAATATATACACATGACACCCATGAAAAATGTTGCCACTAGCACTGTAATATTGCAAACATAAATAGCCAGTCATTACAATTATAAAGTGATTTTGTTGGATGTAATCAAATAATGCACTTTGTTTCCACATACTTAGAGCTTTGAGCATCTGGATAAAAGCCACAGATATGTGCAAATATGAAGTGTTGCCAAACCTTTATTGACAAAAATATATGGTTGCTTAGAATATGCAAAAACAATATCAACAAAAGGTAAGCAAAATAAAACAAAGATGTCAAAATTTTGCACAACCAGTACATAATAAGCTCCATATCGTATAAGCAATTTGTAGCCTACAGCATAAACCTTTTGCAACTCAACAGCTTAAATGCAATTAAAATTTAATTTTTATTAAAAGTATAAGAAAAACAAATTAGTGCTTTCAGAACCAGTATTTCAGGGCAAGGCGTTAAGATATGAAAACACATAATAAGAAAAATGGCAGTAATTCAATAAATTAGGATCTGGTTTAATTAAGAAACTTCATTATGCAGTGAAGGCAACTTTATGCAACACAAACCACATAAGTAACTCATTACACAACACAAACCACACCATAATAAGGAAAACACTACACCACACCAAACACAAATTCCAGTCATACCACATTTAAATACTTACCAAAGACTTGTTGCAAAAAAGGCACTTATAGATATTACACATGTTGCATATCTACAACACCGAGAACATTTGTTTAGGAAAGAGAACATTGATACTGTAGCTAAGCAGTAATTGAGAATAATAACAACTATTTTAGATAAAGAATAGCACTTATTTTAAATGTTGTTTTGAAAGGAGCTACAACTGGAACCTTAAATACTAATAAGAAAATGAAAATTACTAAAAAATAAGCCTAAAACCAATAATTTATTTCGAACCTTTGGAGAAGCTTTGGCAGTCTTCCACAAAATTGTAGCACATGCTTTTGGACTATACCATTTAAAGAAATAGGAAAGAAATGAAATATCAGCACAATTAGAAATGCCATCTAAAAAAGATTAACATTTACAAGGAGTAATATACAATCTTACCAGGTACAACGAGGAAAAATAAGGTTTTAACCAATTGCAATATCATATATTGTATGGGATCAAAAAGGTAGGTTGTACAGGCTTAAACGACATTCAATAAAAATAGTATACGACATCTCAATAACTGGCAACATAAAAGACTGCATTTTCAAACATCAACAATTTATTAGCACAGCCAGTGGCCAAGGCACCGCCAGAGCCACCTTCCCCAAATTATGGGTAATAGCTTCACCCTACATGAATGTAACGCATAAAAACCAATTGTACTAACATTAAAAGTAGATATGTTATGCTTCATAATACAATAGTCCTCATACTTGACCCAACTCCTGAGATTTTAGGTCAGCATACGCCCAGGAGTGTCAATAAAAGTAACTATAGGAAAACCATGATGATCTGGATAATACATCATGCGCAGAGTCTTCCTGTAACTGTAAGAATTTCCTAAATATCAGTTAAGAGTGACAGATTATCTCTTTGAAAGGTAAAATTCAACATGCAAGTTTCATATACTTACCCATGGGGAGTTGGCATTCCAAAGTTACGCCGAATATGCAGATAAAAGTGTTTCTACCCTTTTGCTAACCAATAAACATGTATCACCAACCATCTATGGTTCCTATACCAGTAACAATAGCTGGATTGTCATACCCCAATCGATCTCCATGAAGTTCCACAAACTAGACATAGGATAATATACAAAACATTTATTAGAACAATTCTTCACCCTCCACACACTGGGTGTTAAAGATAATGTTGACGAAAATATGCAGAATTTAATATCCGAGTTAAAGGTCATGCAACCACCAAACCTTATCAGTAATGCTAAATACATGATAAAGGAATGTAGGTCTGTTAGGGTGTCGGGCAATGTTCACACGTTGTATAGGGGTTAGATGTGTGTATAAGTCCTTCATGGCCTGAAATAAATAATAGAAAGGATTATAAGAGTTAATCGAAAACCATAAACATGGTGAAACATCAATATCTTTCATAGCACATCAATATTAAATGATGTGCAAGCCTTTTATGAAACATTTAATTAAGCTCATCCCTTATTAAGGTGTCAAGCTTACATCAGACTTAAAGAAGAATCATAGATTTTGGAGTTTAACACCACAAAATTTCAAGCAAGCATATAAATGTTCTACTATTGATAATCCACTGCAATAAGAGAATGAATCCAAAAATAAAATCAAGAACTACAATAAAATTCTAAATAACAAATAAATGACATAGAAAATGCAACATCGAAAACATTTTATCAGCCAATATTAAATATAACTTCCTGGCCTAATTTTCAGTTTTGGTATAATTAAATTGAGCACACGAAAACATATTCCATACTCAACTTCACTCTCATTAACAGGTTGAATATGTATCCACTCAGAGGAACATATAAATGTATAACTAGAAATTATATTACTTCATGGAAACAACTAAAGTACTCACAGATTGTCTCAAACAAAATAATTATACCTGTTGATATTTATTCTCCAACAAAATAATTTGATCACTGAAGTCCAATCCAGTTTCATTTTACATCCTCCTCACCTGCATATAAACAAACACAAAATTTGAAGCAACCACGGGCTTGTTATGATCAGAAAAACCAAAAGTTACTAGAAATAAGGAACTACATCAGTCATCTTCTTCTCAAAATTTACAAGGGGCTTCTCTAAATCCAAAGTAACAGGCGTTTGCTTATCTTTCAAAGGATTAAAATAGAAAAGATGACTTAGGACTCCGCCTTTCACATTTGGATCCGGATCTGCAGGCCACAGATATTCATGCTTCACTTTCCTCAGCTTTGCAACTACAGTTACACCCTTTTTTGACACATCAAATCATGGTGTCCCTAGGGTTTCAAGAGGGATACCACTGACGCCATTACTGGAGCTTCGAAGAAGATTGGAAGCTGAAGTTCCAGTAAATGCAGCTGGAGAATACGTCATAAAAGCCATCAAGCCTCGAGCTTAGATATCTCATAACTCTACACGAAACCCAAAAGTCAAATCTCCAATTTTCTTCTAATGATTAGAAAAAAAAACTTCAACTAACATTAAAAGAATAGATGCATTACAAACATAAATCAACGCAAAAAATAATCAGATTTGTAAAAAGAGTGAGACTGAGAAATAGCCGGGAACATGAGATGGAAATGGAGGTCGGCGTTGGTCAAGAAAAGAAAGCAATTTTAGGGGAGGAGGAGGAGAGGTGGGACGAGGCGGAGGGAGAGACGATGGCGCGGTGGAAGAGACAAAGATCGTCGAGTTCATCGGAGGCGGAAATGGGCGACAGAGGCTGGGGATTCAAACTCGGGCCTAACAAGAAGAAGAAAATCGAGATGAAAAGCATGAGAGAAAAGGAGAGAATGAAAGGAGTGGAAAACATTAGGTGGGCGAAGAAGTGGGAAATGATGAAAATAATGGGGGAAATTAGAATACGACTCCTAAAGATGACACAATTAAAAAGTATACTTCGTGTTTTTGCAAATTTTATGGATTATGACTATTAAATATGATACACATTATTGTAAGTCATAAATCGTTCAGATTTTAAAAAACATGACATTTATTTTATGACACACATGTTTTGCAAGTCATTAATTAGCGTGTGTCATAGTTCGTGTGTCATTAAAGGTATATTTTCTTGTAGTGACTGCTTATAATATTACTGATGCTTGGAAGTCGACTATTATATATGCTAGAATTTAATATTGAATTGTCTATAACGATTCATTGTATATGTTATATGTTGGTTATGAAACAAAAAAGAAATTGTGAGAGGAATTGGACGACAAATACAAAGCTAAAGGTGCTAGAGATAAAAAAAAAATTAGTTGCCAAGTTCTTGAATTTTACATTGGTTGACTTTAAACCAATCATAAAACAAGTGGAGGAACTCCAATTATTGATTAATGAATTCTTGCTAAAAAATGGTCATATGTGAATCCTTCCATATAGCTGCCATTATTGAAAAATTATATCTTGGATGGAGTGACTTCAAGAATTAAACAAAGCATAAAAAGAAGGAAATGAACACGGAAAAGCTGGTTGTCATGCTTCGAATAGAAGAATACAACAAGGTTAATGGCAAAAAGCTAAACAAAGAAGAGGCTAAGGAAACATGATTGAAGTCAAGGACTTCAAGAAGGGAAAATAACCTAAAAATTGGTCAAAGATTTGATCTAAAGGTGGAATTTCCAAGAAGAATAGATTCCAAGCTAGTGTTGTGGAAAAATGACAAACGATGTAGAGGATATAGATATATGTATTGTGATATATGAAGTCAACCTGGTTGAATCTAATCTGAGATATTGGTGGCTCGATATTGGAGCAACACATCATATTTGTTGCGATAAATAATCTTTCTCTGAATTGACACCTTGCGATAATGGAGATAAGCTCTACATGGGCAATGTCTTAACTTTCGAAATCAAGGGCAAGGGTATTGTAGTCTTGAAGATGACTTCTGGCAAATAACTCAAGCTGCAGAATGTGTTATATGTACCATACATACGAAAAAACCTTGTTTCTGGAACACTTCTATGTGTTCACGACTTTAGAATGTTTGAATCTCAAAAGTTGATTTTGTCTAAAGGGGGAATGTTTGTGGATAGATGAAATGTATTGAATGACATAAAAACTCAATGATGTCTTTGTGAAAGCCAAAATCATGAATAAAAATAAAGTTTCTTTATCCATTTATTTGTTTGAGTTATTAAATTTATATCGTGGTAGGCTTGGGCTTGTTATTTATGATGCTCTACGGAGTTTAATTAACTTTGAACACATTTATTCGTTTTATATTAAGTATAATCATAAATGTGAAACATGTTTTGAGCCAAAATTAACAAGGTTTATTTTCAATCTATTGAAAGAAATATTGAATTGCTTAATTTAGTTAACAGTGATTTTTCCAAACAACAGAAGTGAATAAATATTTTATTACTTTCATTGAAGATAGCGCAAAGTATTGCTATGTATGTTTGCTTAAGAGAAAATATGAAGCTATAGAGAACTTTATACTCTATAAAAGGAAGTTAAAAACCAACTTGATAAAATGATTAAGATGGTAAGAAGTGATCATGGTGGTGAATATGTTGAACCATTCAGTGAATTATATTCACAATATAGAATTATTCACGAAGTAACACCACCTTATTCTCCTCAATTAAATGGAGTAGTCGACTGAAAAAATAAGACTCTAAAAAATAATGATGAATGTCTTGCTAGGAAATTCTGGGTTGTCACAGAACATGTGGGGGAAGCTATTTTTTCAACTAATTACCTTTTAAACAAGGTACTCGAAAGGAAAAATACAAGACATCATACGAATTATGGAAAGGTCAGAAATATTCCTACAAATATCTGAAAATATAGGTGTCTTGCCAAGGTAATGGCCCCCATTCCAAAGAAAATGAAAATAGGTCATAAAACTGTGGGTTATAATTTCATTGTCTATGCAGAAAAGAACAATTCATATCAATTTCTTGTGTATGAATCAAATAATCTCGAGATTCACAATGACACAACAATGGAATCAAAGAATGCATCATTCTTTGAAAATATTTTCCCTTATAAATCTAAGGAGGTTGATCAAAGTTTAAAACGAACTTTAGTGACTAACAATGAGAATAGTCTAAATGATCAACAAGGGGTTGAAGCTAAAATAAAGCCAAGAAAGAGTAAACGAGCAAGGATTGAAAAATACTTGGGATCATACTTCCTAACCTTTATGTTGGAGGTTCAACCTCAAATATATAGTGAAGCTATACGGTCCTCTGAAGGTGCCTTATGGAAAGAAGCCATTAAGAACAAAATAAATTATATCATATGGAACCATACGTGGAAATTAATAGATCTTCCTCTGGGGATTAAACCACTAAATTCTAAATGGATTTGCAAATTGAAAATGAAAGCAGATAGAACAATTGATAAGTACAAGGCTAGATTAGTAATAAAAAGATACCGACAAAAGGAATGCCTTTACTACTTTGATACATACTCTCATGTATCAAGGATAACATCAATAAGAATACTACTAGAAATTTTGCTTTGCGAAATCTAGAAGTACATCAAATGGATGTTAAAAAAAGTTTCCTAAATCGGGACATTGATGAAGAAATTTACATGGAACAACCTGAGGGTCATGTAGTTCTAGCTCAAGAAATGAAATTATGTAGGTTAGTGAAGTCTTTGTATGGACATAAACAATCACCAAAATAATGGAATGTGAAGTTTAATAGTTTCATGATGACAAAATAACTTTAAGATAAATGAGTGTGACAAGTGTGTATATGTCAAAACAACATAAATTGGATATGTTATTCTATGTTTGTATGTTGATGACACACTCATTGTTGGAAGTAACAATGAGATAGTAAAATGTACCAAGACATATTAAATTCAAGATTTTACATGAAAGATATAAGACTAGATGATACAATTTTGGGCATCCAAATTAAAAGGTCAAATGAAGGCCTTATACTAACACAATCACACTATTTGGACACGATCCGTGATAAATTTAGCAGAGATGATTCTGGTATAGCCATGATTCCAATAGACATCACTAATTATACAAGACCAACATCACTGATATTGTGTACAGTCTAAGTAGATTTACGAGCAATCCAAGTGAAAGTTACTGGAAAGTGAAAACAAGGATACTGAGATATCTTAGGTATACTCAAGATTACAATTTACATTATTCTATAGATCATGTTATCTTAGAAGGATACTCCAATGCTAGTCGGATATCTAAGATTTGAGATACCAGGAGTACATATGGATATGTATTCACTTTATGAACAGTTGTGTCTTGGAAATCCTTAAGACAAATGATTATAATTAGTTCAATCTAAGTTTGTAACTCTAGACAAATCTAGAGAAGAACTAGAATGGCTTCAGAACTTTCTGGAGGATATTCAAAATGGCTTAAAACTGTGCCCACAATATGCATATATTGTGACAGCCAAGCAAAAATTGCCATAGCACAAAATTTCATGTGTAATGGTGAATCGAGCTATATGCGACATTGACATACCATTAGATAATTGATGTACCTTTATTGATTTTGTAAAATCAAAATATAAACATCTCAAATTGTTGCGTGTTGTGAGTACTATAAAATTATACGAAAATAATGTTCTAGTATACACAATCACTCAAGTAATAAAGTAATGTGTGAGTACTGTATCCACAGGGATTGGTTGAAATTACAAAAGTCTAACCAAAGAAAGCACTACTCTATCTAAGTATAGTTAGTGTTGATATGTACAATGTCACAGCAATGGAAAGTATATGTTGGTGGATATGGATTTATGGTCTGATGGTGTAGCAAATGGAAATGCAGTGGCAAGAACAAATTTTTAATATTGAAATTGATGAAATGTCAAGGCAAAGAAAAACAGTGAAAACAACAAATAAATGATAAGTTGATAATCCTCACACGATAAGCTTCCACTGGAATGAATGGTAGGGATT